CCTACTAGGTCTGCTTGGTCACTCCATCTATTGCATCTTCTTTCCCAGTACCAGCTCTTTTCAGTCCCTTTAGGACCCCACTCCTTTGAGTCTTTTAGTCGCTTGTTTTTTTAACCTTTTTCTGGTTTTTTTTTTTTTTTTTTTTTTTAACAGCTCCATCTATTGGTGGGGAGCATTAACTGCTGGAAACCGGGTTCAGGATCCCATGAAAACAATATTCTCAGACTCTTACTTGGTTTCCTTATCATCGTTCTTACCTTTTGTGTTTTCCGCCTTCAACGTTGCTCCTTGGTTTTATGCGTTCCCTTTGACTCTTGCTTGGTGTCCATTTCACTTTTCTAAGTTTTCTTACTGTGCCTTTCTGCGATCAACACGTCTCTCCCCTTTTCCTTTTTTTTTTCTTTTTTTTTTTTAGGTCGGTTTCTGGACCCATGACCCGTCTCTCCTTGGCTACCTGTGTTTCCTTTTTCCGTAAACCACCACAACCTTTCAGGCAGGGAGGCCCGCTACCTTTCAGGTGGGAGGCTAAGTCGTGAAAGTAGCCTATACCGCATTTGTCGGATGCTGGCGGAGGCTGGGCGCTACCGAACCGCGAAGGCGGGCAGCGCCAACCAAAAGAAAAGAAAAAACGCCGCGCTGGCACTTCTTTTCCCCCGTTGGGGCGCAGTTCGACTCCGCCTCGGCAAAAAGAGAGGCTCAAAGGTAGTGGTTGTTATTTAGCACAGACAGGGACAAGAGCCCGTGCCTGTTGTAGGTGTCTTGTTTGGTTTTTCTTTTTTTTTCTGTTTTTTTTTTTTTTTTTTTTTTTTTTTATTCCCTTTTTTTTTTTTTTTTTGAGCAGGGGCCATGCTAATGGTCTCTCTATCGCTTCAATTTTAACAGATGTCCCAGAGGACTTCGGTTTCTTTGTCGTTTACCGTACTTTGCGCACTTCATGCATTTCTTTTGTCTTCTTCTTTCGTTTGTTTTTTATATTAGTACAATAATGAACCGCGGATCAGATCCATTGAGCCTTGTATAGTTTCGTTACACGTTTTCTCAAAGTAATCGTGCTTTCCATGTTCCTTCACTGTCTCTGTTTTTGGCTTCATGCGTTCAACCAGCCTTCCAGATTTTCACTCAATTGCGAACCGGGATAGCTGACGCCTGTTTTTTTGTTTTTTTTGTATAGAAAAACACTCATAGAGACAGATAGGACTGATGACGAGTGCATACACTCTCCTAAAATGTTCCACAGCATCCCCCTAAAGAACAATACTTGACTGTTTGTTACACTCAAATAATGGGAGCAGTACCTGCTGGGAAATGGGTCCAGCATCCCCCTAAAGAAAATATTACTCGACTGTTTGTTACTTTTTTTTTTTTTTTTTTTTTTTTTTGAAACAAGCTCCATCTATTGGTGGGGAGCAGCACCTGCTGGAAACCGGGTCCAGCGTCCCATAGATACACAACCATATCCTCACAAATTGGCACAAACTGGGAACGAGGCCCAGCATCCCATAATGAGTACGTTCAGAAAACTTCATCAGACAATTTCATGAAAA